CTTGGCAGCACCCACGTGCCCCCGCTCAGTTCCAGACCTGTGCCAAGGAAACGGCAGCTTTCACATTAGAGGAGAAGATGGCGAGCGAGTCAGACGAGGAGATTGAGTGCGACCTGAGCAACATGCAGATCACCCCGGAGCTGCGCGAGTACTTTGAGCAGACCGAGCGGCACAAAGAAGAGCGACGTAAGTCTGGCCTGTGGCCTCCTGCTTCCTGCCCTTGCTCTTTCTTCCCTCGTACAGAAACCGAACTCCTCGTGTGGGGACCAGACTCCTCAGAGATGTTAGCTGCTAGAGTGATTTCAGTAGAGGACTTTGTTGTTGTTCTGTGGTAAGCTCGAGGACAAAGCTTGCACTTATACCATTCATTGACTGTCTGATTTCAACCAGATGGATGGGTGGGTGGGGTGTCCAATAGCCCCTCAAAATTTCACAGATGAGGACATGCAGCCTTTGGAAGACATGGACCAGGGTACTGACTAGTCATTAGGCATAAGGACTGACTGACTCAGACTCTGGCCTGACACCAGGACTTCCCCTATGACTGCCGGGTCACCCCCACCGGCAGGAGCAGAGCCCAGTGTGCAACTGACACAAGAGAGCCGTGCCCGGCACTTCAGTCCCTGGGTTAGAGAATGGAGGTATAATGGTCTTCAAGCTTCATTGAGAAAACAGGAGTTTTCCTGGTTTTACTATTTCTTCCTAACTTGCTTCAAAGAACTCAAGTGGCCTTGTGTTCTCTCTGGAGCATGGAGAGGGACTATTTCCACTTGACATGCTGCTGACAGATTCACAGATGCTTCCCTCTCCCAACTCCCCTCGCCTCTCCCTGTTCTGACCATTGTCTACTCTCACCATCTCTCTTGCTGAGGTCTAATTGCGTGATGTTTCACCTCGAATTTTCTATACAGAAACATAGATGCCCGGGAATGGCCAGATGATGTTTCTGGCTGAAATGATCTGTATTTTCTCAGAAGCAGGCTAGCATTTATTGATCACCTCCCTGGGTGCCAGAACTGAGCAGTGCACTATGTCTAAATTCTGTGTGTCTATTAGTATCTCTGCCTGCGATTTTCCTCGTAACTGCTACTTCTGGTTTTCCTTTGATTAAAGGGTTGCATCCTTTGATGCATATTAGAAAGTGTCTCCCTCCCACGAAGTCTTTTTAAGTCAGTGTTTTCTATTGCACATAGGCTACGTTCCTTTCAAAGTACACAACCATGGGGAGCAGGACTGGGCGTGATAGAGTCAGCGTTGGAGCAGGTCCGCGGTAGCTGCTGGGCGGGCTGTGTGTTACAGCTGGAGAAAAAGCAGATTTGAGCAAGGGATGCTTGCTTTCTGTCAGCTGAAGGTTGACATAACGTGGTTTCCCCTCCCAAGATGGATACTTTTAGCATGGTCCTTGTGATGGCAGCCCCAGTCACACATTATGGCTATCTTGCGTGACCTGCTGATTTGAAAGATGGGGCATGAAAAAGTTCGTTTGAAAGTGGAACCGAAAGCTTGTTCCACACACATGTAGAAACTCAGCTCCGTGAACCTGACAGCTATTCAATTTTTTTTGGGGTGGGGGGGGAATATATATGGATGAAATGAAAATAAAGAAACATTCGCTCTTTCCTCTATTTCCTTTTAATTTTCTCCTGTCCCACTATCATGTTTGGCCTTCATTCAGGTTTTAGTAATTCCTCTCGGTTATATTGCCCTTGATCAAGCCCCACCAGGCAGCCTTCGGTTTTAGATCACTTATTCCTTTTTCCCTGGGTTGGGTTAACACCCACTTCCTTACATGCCCCCCCTCTGGCCTAACTCTCTCCCATGTCCCCCAGGAACCATCTATCCCATTGTTTTCTCCCCGATTGTTTATCCCACCTACCTTATCTAGCTAGACATGCAGAGACAATAATAAGCACAAAAACAAGACAACAGAAGAAAACAAAACAATGACAAGAAAAGAGAAAAGCCTACAAATAGTTACAGATCCGTTTGTTGACCTTTAGAAGTATTTTCCAGTCGAGTCTGATGGGGTGCCACACCCTGGCCCCAAAGTCTATTTTTGGTATTACTGGGGACTTCATTGCTTTGCTGCACTTGCTGCTCTGTTCCACGTTCTTAGCATTTTGCCCTGGTGTAGTGGGGTCAGATTGGGTACAATTCTCACACTGTGCCTCCAGTGTTGTTCCTCGAAGCACTTTGGGTCTGTGAGGGACGTAATGTCTTGTGGTGGGGCTGGCCCTATGGTCCTCTCTGTGTATTGGCTGCCTGAGCAGGAATACCGTCATCGGGGGACAAGAGGAAAGTAAAAGGAAATAGAGAAAAGAACGAGAGGAAAATGGCACTTATAGAGGTCTAAATACAGGCATGTACATATGTGAATATATCTATATATAAAGATAGGAAAATAGATCTATGTCCACATATATCTATGTTAAGTACTAAGGTAGCAGACGGACATTGGGTCTCTACTCAAATACTCCCTCAATGCAAGAACACTTTGTTCTATTAAACTGGCATTCCATGATGCTTACCTTCCTGACACGATCGATAAAGACAAATGGGTGCATAAGCAAATGTGGTGCAGAAAGTTGATGGTGCCTGGCTTTCAAAAGATATAGCATCTGGGTCTTACAGGCTTGAAGATAAACAGCCAGCCATCTAGTTGAGAAGCAACAAAATCCACATGGAAGAAGCACACCAGCCTGTGATCCTGAGGTGTCCATGGCATCAGGCATCAAAGACCTAGAACAAAAAGTCATATCAATGTGAACGAGGGGAAGGGCAGAGTGGAGACCCAAAGCCCATCTGTAGACAATTGGACATCCCCTTACAGAAGGGTCACAAGGAAGAGACAAGCCAGTCAGGGTGCATTATAGCACTGATGAAACATACAACTATCTTCTAATTTGTTAATGCTTCCCCCCCCACACTATTAATGACCCCAATTCTACCTTACAAATCCAGCTAGACTAGTACAGCTAAGAACTGGAAACACAGGGAATCCAGGACAGATAAACCCCTCAGGACCAATGAGAGTAGTGATACCAGGAGGTTACGGGGAAGATGGGGGGGAGAAAGGAGAAACCGATCACAGTGATCTACATATAACCCCTTCCAGTGGGATAGACAGCAGATAAGTGGGTGAAGGGAGACGTCAATCAGTGTAAGACATGAAAAAATAATAATTTATAAATTATCAAGAGTTCATGAGGGTGGGTGGACGGGGCGGGGAGATAGGGAAAAAATGAGCTGATACCAAGGGCCCAATTAGAAAATGTTTTGAAAATGATGATGGCAACAAATGTGCACATGTGCATGACACAATGGATGGATGTATGGATTGTGATAAGAGCTGTATAAGCCCCCAGTAAAATTATTTTTAAAAAAAGAAAGCAAAACATAAGCAGTAGTGGCCCATCCAGATCTGACTAAGAACCACCCCCATTACTACTACTTCTCAGGTGCAGTTCTAAGTAGTTAATCACAGGCAGGACAACAACCTGCTGGCTTATGCCTGCCACTCAGTATTCTTTTGAATGACTAGAAGTATATCAGTGGCTATTCTCAGTCTTCAACCAGCGGTTTTCAGGTCATATTGACAAGGTTCTCACTTGGCTGTTAGTCTGCGGGAGTTGGATGAAGGCAGTTCGATCCGGAGCATTTTCTACACTTTATGAACTGCATGTTTTGTTTGCCATCATTCCAGAAACTGCTTCTTTTTTCCTTTGCTTCACAGCTCCAGACTGGGCTATTATCATCACTCTGGGAGAATCTTCTCTGATCCCAGATCCAATCTGGGACTGGGCTCTCCAAGGAAACAGACAGGTCTTGCCATCTCTGGGAAGCAAATGCCTTGTGCCTTTGTTTTATTGTGAGCTAGTGAGAAAGCCAGCAAAAATAATTTTACCAAGACATTGGCAATCCTCCCATTTAACCTTCACTTTTGGTATTAACATAATTTGTTATTATCATTTGTTTTCAGCAGGTGAAACTGCTAAAATCTCAAGGTCCAAGCCTAGCCCCACCATTCACTAGCTGTAGGTTTTTTATCCTCTTCAGGGCCACTCACCTTGCATGTTCTGTGCCTCAGTCTTCTTGCCTGGGAAATGGGATGGCCAGGCTGAGGGTGGGGAGGCCCAGTTGGTCTGCTGTCTTCTTGCTGCAGGGTTTGCTGCTGGCTGGCAGAAGCTGCCAGGGGCTAATCCACTCCCAGTGGCATGGCATGGCAGGTGGTGGGGTCAGTCTCCAGCAGCCACAGGAGGATGGAATTCCAACGGCAGAGAGGAAGAGGACCTGGGGGG